TAACACTATCCTTCCCAAACTCAGATTTCTCTAAGTTGAGATGGAGTTGCGTCTTCTTGAGGATGGTCGGTACTTCCTCAAGGTGCTTGAGGTGTTCCTCCATGGACTTGCTGAAGATTAGTATGTCATTGAGGTAGACCACCACGAACCGGCTAATCTGTTCGTGGAGGACTTTGTCCATAAGGCTTTGGAAGGTGGCCGGTGCGTTCGTGAGACCGAAGGGCATTACGGTAAACTCGTAAAGCCCATCGCGTGTTTTGAACGCAGTTTTGTGCTGGTCCGCAGGATCGACTTCAATCTGGTGGTAGCCAAACTTGAGACCGATCTTGGAGAAGAACTTGCACCCACCTGCGACATCAAGCAAGTCGTCTATTCGGGGTAGTGGATAGGCGTTCTTTCTTGTGATGCGGTTTAGGCCGCGATAGTTAATACACATGCGAAGTTTGCCTCCTTTCTTCGGAACAAACAAAACAGGAGCACCAAATTTAGACTCACTAGGCTTGATCCACCCTTTGTCAATCATGTTGTCAATCTGTCGCCGGAGTTCCTCCAACTCGTCGGGTCCCATCCGGTACACGCAACCCTTTGGAGGAACAACACCCTCGACCAACTCGATGGTGTGTCGGACCGATCGCGTGGGGACTCCACATGGCTCGGCCAGAACTTTTGGGAACCGTTCGAGTACATTTTGGATGTTTGGAGGAACCGGCGGGGGTGGAGGATCAGCAAAGGGATCACCTAGATCAGGTCGTAGGTTGCGAATAGAGGCGACCGAATCTGAAGTAGGATCATTTGGACAAGTAGAAGGTAGAGAAGTAGAGGTGCTAGATGTAGAATCACTAACGGAAGTAGTACTCCTTCCACTTGGTCCATTCGCATTGGGACTGCAACCAGCCCAAGCCAAGGACAACGTCAAAGGGGCACTTGTCAAGGACATAAAAGTTCAGTGCGTGGGTGACAGTTTTGTTCTTGTTAAAGGTAGTGTGCACACCTTTGACTGCATGCGTAGAAGAGACAACTTCCTTGTTGCCAACTTGGGTTCGACAAGGGTTCTGCAAGGCCACGTGCTTCATTCCCAAACCCACTTTGCGTATCCCGTGAGGTGACATAAAGTTAGCCGTCGCGCCACATTCAATCAAGACACGGAGATAGCGGTGGTTTATGAGAAGTTTGAAGAAGATCAGCTTCGATGTCCCTTGGGCACGCTGCTGTTTAATCTCAGCCCAGTGCTCCAAGTGGTAGTGGAAGTCGACCGTCCTAGACTCCTCCCAAGGCTCGACATACAACACATCACACACTTCAGCCTTGGCTTCAGCAAATGATCGGGCTTCAAGGGAGGACTGCTGATCTGCATCAGATTCAGTTTCCCTTACTGGAGAGTGTGCTGAAGTCGGCCCTACGCTCGGGTCTGGTTTCCCTGCAGCCCATAGCAATCCTGTACTTTATGGTTTGGTTTCTGGCAATGCAGGCATACCCCCTTCTTGAGTCTAACCCGCCAATCATTTTCAATGACCCGAAGGTCGACCCATGGTTTAGTGGTCGCATCCTCCGGTTTTGCTTGGATCTTGACTCCCTTGGGAAGTTGGACATACTTCTTTCTTGCATTCCGATTCCGTCCCATTGTATTGGCAGTCTTTTTAAAGGTAGTCATTTTTTCTTCTTCTTGATTTACATCAGACTCATGGGCCGACGAACAGGCTGTATCAGTGTCCTGTTCTTGGTCGTCACCAAGAGTGGGGTCATTTGCTTCGGCCTCCTCTTCATTCTCCAGCAGGTCGTGCACATCAAAACGACTGCTGCCTTTCAACCGCCTGCCGCCCATGAGCTTTTTGCTGCCTGCTGTGGTGACGAGGTTTTGAGACTGACTATGTCCTTCATTAGAGTGAACCAGTCAGTATACCCAATGAAGTCCCTGCCGAGGCGATTAGTAAAACTGGTGGGGACTGCGCCCTTTACCACATCCAAGCAAGATTGGTCAGTCCGTTCAAGACCAGGTGTAGCAAACATCTTGCTGAGATAGGTTTGCAGGCTTTTCATGGAGCCCGTCCACTTGCTGCATTTGATTTTGTCAAGCTGGCTTCTTGTCCTTGCTGCAGCATGTGGATCCTTATATTGGGCAATGAGGAGCTCCTCGAGGGAGGCAACCGGGGTGGCCTTAAGCCACCTTGTCAGTTCAATCTTTGGAACCCCAGCCCGCGTAGCTTGGACTTCTAGGAAGCTCCGTACAACCGGCTCAACATTCATTCCCATGATCACTGGTTGGGTCTCTGGCTGAGTCACCAGCACCTCGAAGTATGCCCTCATGGAGCTGATCTAGGATTCAATGCCTTCTTTGCCGTCGTACTTAGACGGTATTTGCACCACCTTTTGATCCACATAGGGACCGGCGTGGCTGGGACCAGCAACTGCTGGTTCAGATCTTGGGGCTGCAGCAGATGCAGAGTTTCCTGCTTCGTTGCTTGTTACGACAACAACGGAATCTGCACCTGTTGCAGGTCTCGAAGGGTTTGCCATCACACTCAAGGAAGAAGTAGAAGAAGATACGGTGAGAGGGGCAAGATTAGTCTCAATTGCAGCTCCGGAATTAGGGGGTAGAGGAAGAGGATTGGTTACTTGGGCCTATCGCAGCGCAGCAACCTCTACCATCAAGTTGCGGTACTTGCTGGTCGTATCAGTTAGATCCTCCTGAAGTGTCTTCAATTTTGCGAAGACGTCGGCGATCTGAATGATATGATCTTCAAGCCTCCGGACTTGGACGATAACGGTGAGTATGGACTGCAAGTGTTCCTCACACTGCTCTTTGGTCAGCGAGGAAATAGTTGCCAAGATGGTCTCCTGACATTTCAGCAGCTGTTCCTTCCTCTCCTTCTCCGCTTCCTGTTCTCTTTTTATAGCACTATCTAGGAGTGCTTGCAGATACAGTTTCTCCGTATAGCTGGCTGCATTTAATAGGGCCCGCCATTGTCCTGAGGATAGTTGGGCCATTTTTGGACCGTTAGTGTTGGCAGGTGGGTCAGAGAGACGCCAATCAACAAAAGAATCAATTAGACTCTCAAGAGGTGCACTCCCCTTTTTACTTGGACGAACACTCCTTTTCCCAGTCCTTACCCACTCCAGACGCTCACTTTCCCTCTCTCCCTTTTCTTTCTCCCTCCTCTCTCTCTCTTCTTTCTGGTTGCGAGTCTCCACGGGCATCGAAAATGAACTCCGAGAAACAGACTGAAAAGCTCAGAGAAGAGAAGGTAGAACTCCTAGCCGGAGTCGCATTTCATTTGGACTTAGAGACAGCAAACCAAAAGAAAAACAATCAAATTCACACGAGAGGTCTGATCCAGCGACGTAGTCTGATCAGACTGCATACGAGGTCCTCTCGAGTCCAGTCTGACCAGCTCCGTGACCGTACAGCAAACCAGACAACAAGTGACTAAATGCAACAATGGAGAATTGAGTGGTGTACAGGGTGCGAGTCAAGCCACGGACAGTGCAACCAAAAGACGTGCGAAATGTCTCAGCCGAGATCCCCTCGGCAGTGGGTGTCCTAACCAAGAAGAAAGAACTTCGTAACACTGTCAAAAGACAATGGGCTAATGCCTAACCGATTTGGGCCCAAAGGGCTCTTCTTGTTTGGGCCCGGTTCCACTGGGTTCCAGAGGTCCCACGTAGGTCGCGGTCAGGTCCCAACCAAGAGGAGTCCCTCATGGACTTAGTTCAGTTTCTACTGTACTGAAAAACGAAATTTCAACTTCCGGCAGAACCTACAGACTACAACCGTTCAGAGATGAAGGACAAAGCACTGTAGAAAGACTCGGCATTTAGATCAAGATACTTCATTTCCTATCCATCAGGTGAGTAGGTAGATCACATGCATTCAATCACACAATCAAGACCACATAGGAGTAGGAAAAGAAACCCCGAGTAACCCCAGTAGGACAAGCCATGCCATGCACAAACACATGCGCATCCCGTAGGTGCACGACACTTACCTGAGTGGCGTTGAACTTCGAGATGAATAGAACTCACCCCCCTCTCATGTGATCCTCCTGACCCCTCTAACGCTACCCCTACACTAGTGTTCTATCTCCTAGGAGGGTCTGACTCCAACACCCAAGTGCAACGCCGGATCCCCCGTTGATGCTGAAGAACAAAGTAGCAACTTGCAGTCCATAGATGCTGAGTGGCTGCTGACCCTCAAGCTCGCCTACTTGAGGGCAGCCCTTGCCAAGTGTCTCCCTTGAATCAGATTCCAGGTGCAAGTGCCTCTCACTGTGACCTCTCTCAAATCGCCGCATGAAGTCTCCTCGAAATGTCTCGCCATCCTAATCTCACTCTCAAGCAACCTGGTTAGGTTCAACGTCGACCCTCCGTGACCTAACCAGGTGGGGGCAGCTTCCCTCAGCCACGCTGCCCCTCTTCCATTCACAAACCAACCCTAACCCTAAGTGGTGCCCTCAACCACTTAGGTTAGGGTTAGGGCAGCAAAGTCAACTCTCACCAGCAAGTAGAATCCGCTCTGATACCCATGTTATGATCCTGGCCAATTTCGAGATACACATCCATCAGATAGTACAATGCCGCCCAATTGTAGAAAGAAATGAATGAACTTGAGAGAAGAGAGAGGATTAGAAGAAGAAAAAGAAGTAAGAAAGAAGAAGAAGATGATGTACACCAGCATAGACAAATGACAAGGCTCTTCTTCTTCGCCCAACAATCTCCTCCTCCTTATCTCCCCCTTCTCTTATTCATGCAAGAAATAATAATACAATGTTGAATAGCTGATCCAGAATCAATGCCCGAGTCCCTCTTCTACTGCAGGTATCACTTGAGGTCCACCATAGCCATGGCCGCCTCCCCCCACTCTTCACTCTCATAGGCCGAGGCTATGGCGTACTCCTAGGCCTTGCCCAGATGCCCAAAGGACAACCCAAAGCAGCTATGGCTGCTCTAGCTCAGGCCGCCATGCCCAACCATGCCTTGAAGCTTCTTGGTGTGACTCTCCCCAGTTGGGGACTCCCTGCTGCAGCGCCCACCAAGGTGATGAAGATGGCTGCCACCATAGCCAGGTAAGTACCCCTGGCGCTCCTCCCCCTACCTTCCTTCTTCCTCCCTCGTGTCCTTCTCCTTCCTCCCCAGCAGCGCTGCTCCAGCATAGTGCTGCTCCAACCAGCGCTTCACCAGTGTGTCGCCAAACTTGCACACCGAAAAAGAGGCCGGGCTCTTTGCCCGGCTGGGAGATATAGCGGCCTGCTTGTCTCTTCGGGTGGTGACTTCCAGGCCGCTCGGCCTTCCAAGCAACTAGTACCTCCTCCCTTCCGGAGGGAAACATCATTGCAGACTCTGATATTGCCCGTAGAGGCCCTAGACCCAGACTGGTTGGACTGGTATCCACCTAGACCTAACCTACAACTACTGAGCCTCTAAAAATGCCACTTTTGTCTTCTTCTGCTCGGCCTCCAGTACCGGCACATCTACCCCTTCAGGGTGCACTACCGGCCTTCCCGCTACTTGAGTGTTTTTCCTGCTGCAATCCCTCAATGTCACGGCCACAGGTAAGTACCGGCCCTGAAGGGCCAATGAACGAGCAAGTGCCCTTGCGGGCCACACACACACTCAAGCCAACCAGTACTCAGACAGACATGCAGTCCAGCAAGCGTGCACACACAGACTTAGTAGCAAGCGGAAAAGTCAGCAGGGCATTCAGTCCAGCAAGCGTGCACACNACTCAGACAGACATGCAGTCCAGCAAGCGTGCACACACAGACTTAGTAGCAAGCGGAAAAGTCAGCAGGGCATTCAGTCCAGCAAGCGTGCACACTCAAGCCAACCAGCACTCAGACAGACATGCAGTCCAGCAAGCGTGCACACACAGACTTAGTAGCAAGCGG